CAGCCATCATTGTTGTTTGGCGGCCCAGGCTGGATTCGACCCTGCCACCTTAGGTGTATGTGGCTGGCACCTTAGCCACTTGAGCCACAGGCGCTGAGCCCATACAGTCAATCTTAAGGAACCACACTCTTTAGAACCTAGGGGCCTAAATCAAGGCTCCATAATGTCACCCAGTCTTAGGAAGTTCTTTCTTATGCGTAACCTGAATCTCTCATACTGTTCTTTTTTCTTCATTTGAGAAGAAATGGGTCCCTACAAACACAGATCCCCTCCATTGCCCTGAACATTATAGGAAAACTTCACTGGTGGTTTTCCTGCTTCAAGCTCCAAGACTGGCCCTGTGGATGTAGTGAGGAGCCACATAGTCCTGCCCTCAAATATCCCAGTGTGAAAGAGAGACAAACATGTTGACCAGTGACTCTAGTGCAAAGGCCAGGAGTGAAATACAAGGATGGGCCAGGGCTGCCAGAAAAGAGTGACAGGGGCCAGTAATTCTGACAGTGGTTTGAGGCAGGGATGAGAAAAAGAAGAAATTAGTGCTGTGGACTTCAGTGGGATAATGTTTGAAAGATGGATCCAAGGACTATTATTAGTTTTCCACCGCTGCTGCTTCTCTGACCCATCTACCTCTTGTCCAAACCCTGACATATCCTGGCTCCTTCAGCATCCTCCCATCTTCTTGTCAGCCCTTTATTATCTCCAGCCCTTGGAACCACTAGAGCTCAGTACCCTGTCCTCCCAGGGTCCAGGAGGAGAATAGGTTGGAGATATTCCTCCCTCCACTGGTGAGAGGCAACTAGCCAGGAACTACCCAAGGCTTTATCATCATGCTGACCTGAATTCAAACCTCAGCTCCTCAGTGCTGTGTGGTCCTAGGCATATAACTTAGCCTGAGTCTCACTTTTCCCCCACAAACCATAAAACCAAGCTAATGCCCATGCTGTTGAAACAATGTGTGTCTAGCAAACAGTAGGTGTTCCATCAATAGTGGCAAGCATTACCATCATCCTGGAAAGGCTGATGGGAGCAAATTCCCCATGGATGCTTCCCTTGCAGATGGCCCCATCTGCTCTAGGTGCAGAAGCACCCTCCAGCGATGGGTTGGGGGGAGGGTAAAGGGGGTACAAGGCCCCCTGGGACTTCCAAGCAGTTCTTCTTCGCTTCCCTGTGCATGAAATCACACGCACCCCAATCTGTTTGCATCCACTTCATCTGCTAGCTCAGCAAATGCAGAGACAATTAAGGAGTTAATTAGTACGCAGTTGGGAAGGGGCTGGAGGACCCAACAACACTCCCCTCCCCCACCCCTTCACGCTCAGTGTTGCTCTCCACCCATGATCCTCATCTTCTCTCCCGTTTTCTCTCTTTTCCAGTCCAAATGCTCCTCTTACTCTCCTTTATTTCTCAGCTACTCTCACCCTTTCTCTCCCTACCCTGTGCTGTCCTCTCTTCCTTTCTTTTCTTTCCCTATTCTTGTCTGGAATCTCCTGGCTCCTCCTCCATCCTCTTTACCCACTAAAGTCATTGTCTTCTCCATCCTTCAAGGGCTCAAGTTTTCCTCCCCCGACTCCCTACTTAACCCTAGCCCTTGTTCACTTTCTATCTCTTCTCCCTCTCCCCTCATCATCCTTTCCTCTCCAACTTCAATTTGAGTCTCAAAAACTATGCCTTGTCCACTGGTCCATGAGTGTGGGGTTCTGTATCTGCTCCAGGTATCCATGGGCTCTACCTTGCCTTCCAGGCCTGGTGTCTGCTTCTGCAACCCCAGAAGAGTTTCTCCCTGTCCTCACCCTCTCCCAGAACCTCTCAGCCCTGACTTTCTGGGTGTCTTGGGCTTTTTTTGCCAGAGCATCTCTATGGGGTTCCATACTACTGCCTCTGTCTGAGTCTCAGCAGTTTGCAATCCAGGATCATGCTGGACCCTTCTTTTTCTTTCTCCCCGCCTAGCACAGGGGCAGATAGCCACCTTTCTTTTATCACACATTTTGATTTGTATGTGAACATGTCATTTGTGGAATCCTGATTTCAGATGGGAGAGATCCTTAAAGATTATGAGAGAGAGAGAGAAGAGAGGTGGAGAGGTAGAGAAATAAGGGTCAAGACTGAGACTGAAAGGGCAGATGTGTGCACAATATGGCCCAAGAGAGAAGAATGGAGGTAGAGTAGAGAGAGAAGAGGTAGGTAAAGGAGGGAAATAGAGAGGACCTCAAGATAGGGAAGAGACTGCTAAAGCCCTTTCCTGCTTTAAAATTCTGGGTCTTTGAGAAGAAAAATGAGGGAAGGAGAGAAACAAAAGGCCCACAGAGTGCCTGAGGGTTTTCTAATCTCAGGAAATTTCCCCAGTTGATCTCCCTTCCCTAGCACTGACCTCTAGCACTCACCCTATATCACCTGCCCTGGTTTCTCTGTTTTGGGAGTTCTGGTTGCCCTGGGAGCAAGTCTGTCCTCTGTCCTCTTCTTGCACCCCCTTGGGGTGGGGTGCTCCCTCAGAGTGAGCAGCCCCTATCTTGACCAC